TTTGCCTGTTTTGCAAGCTGTCCTGTTGTCTGTATCGACGGGATCGTCTTCATATCTACTTGGCACTTTCTACTTCGTGATCTACTTGTGTGTACCTGTATATCTCCTGATCTACAACATACCCTGTCTACCTGTCTGCTAATCTAGTTGTCCCTGTCTACTTGCCTATTGATCAGGATTTATAAAATGAAAGAGTATCTATGAAGCATATCTACCTATCTTTTAATATGTCTACCAACCTACTGATCTACTTTCTCTACCTTACAAAACTACCTACTTACTGGTCCTTCTAAATCTATAAGCATCTTCAGATGTATTCGTATCTAAGACATAATATCACTGAAAATTTGTTTTGGACAAAAATAATAGAAGTTTACACCTAAAGTATTTTATACATAACCTAAATTGAAACATGAACAATTTTACGATGATTGAATGAAATAGTTGATGAAGAATTGTATTAATAGATTGAGGCTCTACTTAGTAGAGATGGTTGACCATCCCTCCATATATAAAAAAAATTCCATTACATAGCTAGAAATTTTTTTTATTAAATTTGGCCAAAAAAAATCGTCGCTGACGAAGTATACGCCTGGGTCCTGAAGGAATGACAGGAAGCACTGCATCAAACCTTATCAAGCATATTCAATAAATCCCCAGAACCTGGCACAGTTGCAGAACTGCAAAGAGGTTGAGAATGTCTTCCCAGTTGAATATAAGGAGATAAATGCCTGGATATCCAACCACTGTGAGGTATATTTTACGTCGACTGTCGAATAATTGTTGAAGTAGAAACTTCAATTGCCATTCAGACTCAAAAAACTACAAATTATCAAATGATTTATATCGACTGATTAGTTTGACATGTTTCCCCTAACATAAAGATTATTATTTCATTTATTCATATCTTTCCCACTCGGGTTATGCAGAACAGTTTGGGGAACAATGTGATAGAATGGATAAATTTATGTTTGGGATGTATATATTTATATATATATACATAGAAGTTAATTCAAGTCATTAGAAACCTTCCCCTATGGAGACAGGAAGAGAACGAGATTTATTCTCTGTAGAATGATGTATTGTAGAGTAAAATTGGTCTTGTAAATGAATGTGTAAATGAATGAAAGTGTTTTAACACTTTCGATTTACATCTAAACTCATTCACCTGTCTCATTCGCTTGTTCCCATTCGCCTGCTGACTTCACCTGTCCCCCCTTCACCTGTTCCATTCATCCTGTTCCATTCACTTGCCCCACTCATCCACCCTCTCACCTGTCCAATACACCTGTTCTTTTTACCTCTCTTTTCACTATGCCTTCTCAGCTTTCCCTATTCCTGCGTTAATATTAATTCACCATTTTCCAGCATTCTTTGCATCTTTCCCCTCTCTCTCTCTATCTCTCCCTTCGTCTCCCCTTCCATCACCTCCTTTCCCTCTACCTACTTTCCTCCCCCAAATCTTTCCTTCCACCCCACGCTCCTGTAGATATTTGAGTGGTGTTGATATGATGATACAACTCATCCTCATCAACACAGGCCAATTGCTTGTTAACCCAACCCCCCTTTATTTTATGTATTTACACTTTACTCAAGAATCGTACATGTTTACACTCGAATTTTGGTCTAAATGCTTCGCTTTTTTTCCTGTTCGAATTGTACCTCTCTAAATGCTTCCTGTAATTTTGGCTTTTATTTGCTGATAGAGTTGGTTTTCGATTTCCTTTGTCCTCTAACCACTTTGGTTTTATGTTGGAATTAGAGTCGACGGAACAGCTCATTGTTTGACCTCAAGTATAGGATCAAGTTCGTAATTCTGGTCATTCATAGTTCTGGAGCGGTTTGAAGGTTTGAATTGTGTTTGACTTGCTCTCTCTCTCTCTCTCTCGGTTGTTTGCTGAATACTGTAATCATCCCATGGCTTGGGGGGGGAAAGGGGGGGGGTTTTAACGATAGGTGAGGCTGTTTAAGACTAAGTTATTGGTCTAAATCAGCTGTGAATGTTCGTGTGTGTTTAGGGTCATTATTCTGTCTGTCTCTCTCTCACACATTTCTCTCTCTCTCTCTCTCTCTCTCTCTCTCTCTCTCTCTCTCTCTCTCTCTCTCTCTCTCTCTCTCTCTCTCTCTCTCTCTCTCTCTCTCTCTCTCTCTCAGTATACTGCTAGTTCAACCCATCCTCTTTAAAAATAACGTCGCTTTACGCCCGTATGCGCGCTATGGCCAAAAAATGGACGTAATTTGAAATGAAATCGGCTCACGAAAGTGATGTACTGTCCCGCTTTCTGTTTGAATCCTCCGGCTTACTCGGTTAGGTTAGGAGAGGAAACTTTCAATTAACGTTTTTCATGATGTTTTGAAACTTTAGGAGAATTTCCTGCCCTCCTAACCTACCAGAGGACCCTTAACTCACTGTTTGGGGGAAAAAAAATCAAAAATTTATTTTAAAAAATCATTTTGAAGCTATTTTCGCCCATACGGACAAACGACCAAATTCAGACGTAATGGTTGGTTAGAGTGTAGCCTTGGGCTTCACTCTGGCTACTATTGCCTGCTGTGTTTGGCCGGCCAGTGAGACAAACTAATTATTAACATTGTTCAGAGGGATTCGAACTTTGAGAGAACGCGGCCATGCGTTTACACACAAGGCCACGGCACTACTGATGAGTGCCTACAACACCCACATACAACACCCACATACAACACCCACATACAACACCCACATACAACACCCACCTACAACACCCACATACAACACCCACATACAACACCCACATACAACACCCACCTACAACACCCACATACAACACCCACATACAACACCCACATACAACACCCACATACAACACCCACATACAACACCCACATACAACACCCACATACAACACCCACATACAACACCCACATACAACACCCACCTACAACACCCACATACAACACCCACATACAACACCCACATACAACACCCACATACAACACCCACCTACAACACCCACATACAACACCCACCTACTGTATCTTCGTTTGAAACTCGTGTAGACATTCAATTTATACTTTTGTTAAAGAGGTCTGTAATCGCTAATTGATATCACATTTACAATTATTAGATATCCCGCTGGGGAAAAAAAATAATCATTAGTGTTGAAAATAAATTAACTAATTTACTAGAGACTGCAATTAGCAGTGATTTGAGATATGTTTAATTATTTTTGATAAATTATAATAATAATTATAATATAAACACATAATATTAAGCATTATTAAATTTGTGGCCCTGATAGCTATTTTTGTCTATAAGTATTAATAAAAGTTACTTTTTGGGGGATGAAACGTAGATTTTTTTTGTAAATTGGGGAATCGACGCACTTAGATGGATAAGGCTGGTGGATAAGGCTAGTAGGCCTCCCATATAGGGCATCTGGCCTCCTACATGGGGCATCTGGCCTCCTACATGGGACATCTGGCCTCCTACATGGGGCATCTGGCCTCCTACATGGGGCATCTGGCCTCCCACATGGGGCATCTGGCCTCCGACATAGGGGCTAGCTAGCCAGCAGCGGTTCACAAATATCCACGTTTCCTAATGCAGGTTAGGTTAGGTAGGTGGCTTGGCTTGGCGCATTTCTGGATAGGTTAGCACGCTGTATTTTGAACGTGGTGGCAAATCAAGAGACGCGTATTGGACCAGACGAGAGAGAGAGAGAGAGAGAGAGAGGAGGATTTTGACTCAAAAAGCCTCATAAACACTAGCGTATTGCGTACGCACTGGCTGCGTCAAATAAATAATGTTTACGCAATGAATTATGTGAATGACGCATAATAAATTCAGCCGCCCACAACTCTAATAAAAAATTATGACATTTTTTCCCTTGTCAAACTATTAATAATGAATATAAATAAATCTAGGTGATGGATTAGCGTGTGGATAGTCATCGTGCGACCTTATTGACGAGGATGGATGGGTAGATGGACGGGTGGATGGACAGGTGGATGGATAGGTGGTACTTGAGACCTCTATTCACATGTTACACTTCCATTACCTCTCTACCACTCTACCAACCTTCAGCTTATCCATTTACCCTCTCCATTGCCCCCTTTCCATTACCCTTTCCCACTATCCTGTCCATCAGTTCTTTCTCCTCCATCTTCCTCCATCACCTGCTCCATCATCTCCATCACCCTCTCCGTCATCTAGACCCCCCTCCCTACACTCCATCACCACCACCATCATCTTCCTTCTCTTCCCCTCCTGCTCTCCACCACTTCCTTCAACTCCATCAAGTTGTTTGTGATCGTCTTGGGCCATTTTTCCCACCGTTCTATGAGAGTTTTCTCTATACAACCCGTTTTCTCTCTCTCTCTCTCTCTCTCTCTCTCTCTCTCTCTCTCTCTCTCTCTCTCTCTCTCTCTCTCTCTCTCTCTCTCTCTCTCTCTCTCTCTCTGTTCATTGTGTTGTCTTTGATACCACCCCTGCACCCCCTCTCCTCTATCCCCCACCTCCTCCTGCCTACAGACAAACACATGACAACTAACACAAAAAAAATACAAAAATTCCGTGAAGAGCGGAGGACAAAGAGGCAGCGTTTGCGTCGACACTGTCAAAGAATATAGAGCAGCCGTCACTCGACGAGGTGGGTCCGCGCCATTACTCCCCTCTGAGCATCTATATTTACCGCAAAACGAGTTCGCGGGGTGAGTAAAGAATGTAATTAATAGTGGAAGAGTAAATATAGAGAAGAACAGCACCCAGTGGCACAGAGAATGTAAATTATTGTCATGAATTAGACCGGCGCTTCGTCTGTTTCACAGTGTAAACAGTGGCAGCGGAGCTGCCAGACGAACGAATATTACGTCCGCTCATAGAAATGCTGTGCCCAGTACGACTAGGAACCAAATCTAGCCTCAGGTTAAGTTTCATTGGTGTATATTGTTTATTTTTAGCTTGTTAGTTTGTTTCGAACCCCTCAATCAATGTCATGTGTGCGTCCGTACTGGGGATAGACATGACGGCTGGCAGCGGTGAGTCAGCGGTACGAGAATATCTGAGCGTTGACAAGACCGTCTAAGACAAACGACCTAACGCCGCTTTCTTTTGGGCAAGTGGCCACCACGACCCTTGAGGTACAGCCAGCCTTTATACAACTAGTAGTTACTGTCTCAAGCAAAGGATTGCAGGTTTTTATACTTTACAGCATAAAGAACTTGCAATAAATTATCCTCAAAGCCGGAGAACAACATTGCTACACGTCAAAGAACAAACGCTCTTTCTAAACTGATGATCACACAAAGACCTCAAAAGCTCACAGAATAAATTAACAATTTTAAATTGTTTACCATCCACAGAATGGCCATCCACAGAATGGCCATCCACAGAATGGCCATCCACAGAATGGCCATCCACAGAATGGCCATCCACAGAATGGCCATCCACAGAATGGCCATCCACAGAATGGCCATCCACAGAATGGCCATCCACAGAATTCGCCCTACAATAGCCACCGAACTCCCAGGTATATATATATATATATATATATATATATATATATATATATATATATATATATATATATATATATATATATATATATATATATATGCCATCCAACGTGCATTTTCATGGAAATTAATAATGACCACATTATGTACGTAGAAAAGACATATTATTGCATTACATAATAAAGCAGCGCATGTAATAAATTAGCAAATTAATTAGTATGGGCAAAACTGGTAATAATCATTTGTTATTTCGGGTCAGAAACATTCCACAACATAATTACTAAAATGTCAAAATGCTTCATAAGATTATTTGCAATTGACGCAAATCTCACTGAAAATATCACAGTGAATGAGGATTATTCTGCCCGAACAGTGCCTCGGCAGTGCCCTGAAAATACCCCTGACAGTGCCCTCAATGATTATATATTTTATAAACAATTATAATATATAAGGATATTTTAAAGATCCAGGAAATGTTAGCTTCAAGCCACTGGTATAACACAAGAATACTGATCAACAGTTGAGAGGCGGGGCCCAAGAGCCAAAGCTCAACACAACTAGGTGAGTATAACACCCATATATATATATATATATTCACAGGCATTAGTATTCACGCGAGCCGCATTGGGGTTCGAGTTGTTCAGTAATATCCCGCCCTCCACCACCGCAGGAAGTGTAAATTAATTCCGGGTTGTGTATCAGAGAACTCTAGGTGTGTGTGAGAGAGAGAGGGACAAGTTAGTCTGAGATTGGGTTATATATCTTAAAGCGATTATATTGAACTGGATGACGGAAGTCTGGAGCGTATTATACTGGAATTCGTCATGCTTCGGATACACTAAACGTGGGTTATATGATCGTGATTATACAACTTGTGTAAATGGATCAGGGTTATATAGGAGAGAGAGTCAATAATCGTTTTTTAAGGCACCATAAAGTGTGCTTAAGTCACTGAGAACCCAAAAATAACTTACAACTGTATAATAAAACCACGGAATACAGCTGTATGATATAGAGAACAGTACATTAGAGCAGAATTTAGCAAATTCGATTTGCAGATTGCTCTATATTAGCATCTGCTGCAAACGCTCTAAGGGGAGAGTTATATATATATATATATATATATATATATATATATATATATATATATATATATATATATATATATATATATATATATATATATAATATGTGTGTTTGTGTGTGTGTGTGTGTGTGTGTGTATGTGTGTGTGTGTGTGTGTGTGTATGTGTGTGTATGTGTGTGTGTGAGTGTGTATGTGTGTGTGTGTGTGTGTGTGTGTGTGTGTGTGTGTGTGTGTGTGTGTGTGTGTGTGTGTGAGTGTGTGTGTGTGTGTGTGTGAGTGCGTGTTAAAAATATCAAACAGCGTGCGATAAATAAAATATTAAGAACCACAGTACAGAATATTATCCTGACCTGTATTCTTAAACACAAAATATTCTTCATTGTACGTCTGGCAGCGAGCCACAGCATACGCTTGTGATCTACCATTGTTGTTGTTATAACTTCAGCTACTCGAAACAAGTTCCAAGTAGCACGGGCTATGGCGACCCCGTAGCTTACCTGGCACAGGAGCGGGGGCTGTGAGTGTGATTTACGTCACCAGCGAGTCCCTCATCTCACGTCACCTGCGTTTCTAAGCCTCCAAAAAAGTCCTTATGGGGCTTTAAACAAGCACGATAGGCTTACTCCGTATAATTTATCCTCACAAAACTAACGTAACCGGTCAGTCATTGTTATACATTCAGGGATAATTCGTGTATTGTACGCGTTCAGGGTTGTAATTTAAGGTCCACCAGTCAGGGATGTCATGTGTATAACAGGTTGATTGATTGATAAAGGTTTGGCCACACAATATGTGGCACGGGCATGAATAGCCCGGGAGAGTAACGGGCTCCTTGGATCATATATATGTATACACACACACGCTCTCGGCTCGTGTATATCTGGGAAGGAGATATAGGGATATATATACACTAGGGAGATAAGTCCCGACAGGAAATGGGAGTTATTTTGCTGGTTTAGATAAACAGGTGTGTGTGTGTGTGTGTGTGTGTGTAGGGTGTGTGTGTGTGTGTGTGTGTGTGTGTGTGTGTGTGTGTGTGTGTGTGTGTGTGTGTGTGTGTGTGTGTATGTGTGTGTGTGTGTGTGTGTGTGTGTGTGTGTGTGTGTATGTGTGTGTGTGTGTGTGTGTGTGTGTGTGTATGTGTGTGTGTGTGTGTGTGTGTGTGTGTGTGTGTGTGTGTGTGTGTGTGTGTGTGTGTGTGTGTGTGTGTGTGTGTGTGTGTGTGTGTGTGTGTGTGTGTGTGTGTGTGTGTGTGTGTGTGTGTGTGTGTGTGTGTGTGTGTGTGTGTGTGTGTATGTGTGTGTGTGTGTGTGTGTGTGTGTGTGTGTGTGTGTGTGTGTAGGGTGTGTGTGTGTGTGTGTGTGTGTGTGTGTGTGTGTGTGTGTGTGTGTGTGTGTGTGTGTGTGTGGTGTGTGTGTGTGTGTGTGTGTGTGTGTGTGTGTGTGTGTGTGTGTGTGTGTGTGTGTGTGTGTATTCACCTAGTTGTGCTTGCGTTGAATGAGCTTTGCTCTGCGGCCCGCCTCTTAACTGTCAATCAATCAACTGTTACTAACTACTAACTATTTTTTTTCCACACACACACACACACACACAGGAAGCAGCTCCGTGACAGCTGTCTAACTCCCAGGTACCAATTTACTGCTAGGGAACAAATGCATCAAGGTGAAAGAAACTTTGCCCATTTGTTTCTGCCTGGTTGGGGAATTGAACCCGGGGCCCCAGAATTACGAGTCCTGCGCACTGTCCGCTCAGCCACCAAACCCCCAACCCCCTTTCGGACCAGACCCAGATCCAAGTTATCAAGAATACGTCGAAATGCGCGGTGCAGGCACCAACAGTCTAACGAATCAGATACTAGAAACCATACCTTACAGAAACCGATCCAGAGTTTACCTGCATTCCCGGTTGCAACTCTTTTGACTATGTCGTGGCGCGTCTAGGATTATCCCGAACGTAGGTTCCACCCCCTTATGGATTTGTTCATTGGTGTAGACACGTGTTGATTGGGAATCATGATTCATGATTGGAAACAAAGTGACCAGGATAGATGTAGAGGTTTCGCAAGCGGATTCGTCAGTCCTTTATGCCTCCTCTTCCAGGACTTCACTGTGAGCGGGGATCGCTCTAGTCGGTAATATAAGGTTTACGTGGTCTTTCACATGAAAAAAGTACCAAAGTGTGGTCACACTTTTGGTCAACAAGTGTACTTTTTTGGGTCAACAAAAGTACTTTTTTTACCAACGAAGGTACTTTTTTTAGCAACAAAAGTACGTTTTTGATCAGCAAAAGTACTTTTTTATATCAAGAAAAGTACTTTTGTTGACCAAAAAAGTACTTTTGTTGCCAAAAGAGTACTTTTCTTGGTCAACAAAAGTACTTCTGTTGGTAAAAAAAAGTACTTTTGTTGACCAAGAATGTGATTTGGTCACCAAAAAAACTATTGTTTTCATCCTTTTTTTCCTATTTATAAATGGTTTCTTTTTCTGTACATGAGGCTGTATTGGCAACATTTACCTGAATTTACCTGAGGGGCCTGTATCACTCTAGTGGGGACAGGAAGTCGGCAGGTTGTCAAATGACAATGACGGGAAGTTCATTGTTCCCGAAGATTTTTTTGAAATTCTAATTCTATGATATCGAGGAGTTAGACAGAAATACAAGGTCTTTCTACACTTTCTACACAGGACACACCGGTTGGATAGGTGGATTGGGTGATACATAAATGGACACACAACAGCCTGGTGAAACTGCTAAATGACTTCAAATGACTCTTATTCTCTGAGGCTTCAAAGAGTCCCAAAATGGCCGCTTCGAGGAACCCAGTTTTATACACGTATCCGAGCCACGGTGAGACACGTGTAGTAAGTGCGGCTTGAGAAGGGGGAAGGATGGGGAGGGGAAGGATTAAACAGGGATAGGCGGGATACATGGACACGTGGGCCCGGGGAGGGGGGAGGTAGGATAGACACCCCCATGTGTTACCGATGTGTCTTGCTAGTTGGACAAGGCGGCAATGTTCCCATCACTCTCCCTGCATTGCACCAGCTGCAAGGTTGCAGAGAGAGAGAGAGAGAGAGAGAGAGAGAGAGAGAGAGGGAGAGACAGAGAGAGACAGAGAGAGAAAGATGAGAAACAAATATGCATTGTCTATTTCCCATTCACGTCAGTCAGTTGTAAACACTAAGGTAGACAAATGAGAATTATCACTTTTTATATTAAATGAGAATTAAAGGAGAATTACCACTATTTAAATTAAATGAGAATTAAATGAGAATTACCACTATTTAAATTCATTGAAGTGAGAGATCAACATTCGAACTGGAAGGTAGAAAAATGCTTCTAAATTGAAACTGTATTGTGAAAAAAAATATGAAGTTCGCGCGAGAAATTGTGGAATTGAAAGAGAGGGTGTTCGGAGATTCACTACAATTGGCTAGAAATAAACAAAAAAAAATAATTGTTGTTGTGAAAGCCCTTTGAATAGTGCATCCAGTAGAGTCCTATGAATAGAGCTCGAAGTGAAGCTCTATGAATATGTTTTTGCTCGATGTTTGGGGGTCAAACGCTTGTGGATAGCCTCTCTAAACTGTGTAAGTTTTTTTTAAAGCGTCCAAACATGGCACTAGACCTCTATACAAGAGCAGCATCATGTTTTGCCCCATGTAATACACACAGATATACAACCTGATGATGGTTGTATGGAATACAACCTCATTGTATTGTTGTATTCGTCTTAAGAAATCAAATACTTGATGCCAGTTCTTCCTGTTGACCACACCACACACTAGAAGGGTGAAGGGACGACGACGACGTTTCGGTCCGTCCTGGACTATTCCCAAGTCTCTCAATCGACTTGAGAATGGTCCAGGACGGACCGAAACGTCGTCGTCCCTTCACCTTCTAGTGTGTGGTCTGGTCAACATACTT